TAAGGCTAAAGTTTCAAATGCATTTGCGTTTCTTTCCACTTAGAGGTCAAAAAAATTTAGTCATCCAAAATAACCAATATAATTAGGTAATTTTCTATTTTTTCTTCTCCATATTCCAAGCTTTTATTCATTTTCAGGTTTATTCATTTATATGTGAAAGGAAATGAACTTAAAGAGTGCTTCGGGTAACAGAACATGCTAAAATGTCAATAATCCCGTAAATGTCATCAGAAATAACTTTGTGATGCATAACCTCTGCTTCTACTTGTCTTTTGATGATGGCAAAGTCTATTGACTAAAAGAAAGTTTAATTACTTCAGAGAAGCTCTATAGCTTCTTTGGAATAATCTCTTCAAAGACAGGGAATATTGTGAGAGAGTAAAGAATAATTATCTTCCCTTTTCCCCCAAAAGAAGGTTTGGAGCTAATATCTTGTTGTGTGGGCCCTGGCTGCACACAGCAGGCAGTGCAGGCAGGAGCTGAGTTAGGAAGATAAAGTTAATTACTTGAAAAGCCAATGGAAGCAGTTGATTACACAAACAGAATATGTCATCTGCAAAGCATCAAGAGCATTTACATTTTATGATAAAACCAGCCTAGAATGACTTTGAAGTTGAATTATTTTACATAATTGGCTCATGGAATGCAACTTTCAGAAACAAAATGTAGCCTAGACATACACTTTTAAGGTGATTGCATGTGATTTGGGAAGAGTGCAGCATTGGAATGCTGTTTGAAGGAGATAGGGACCACCTTGGTGAGTTAAAAAGACTCATCACAAAGGCACGGAATACCTCACAGTTCCGTACAGCTCTTTCCAGTCTTCAGTCAAAGTCTCCACTAATTGACGTGATACGGATATTGTCCATGCTGCACATCCTCAGTGTGCCTTGGATACGAGGGCAGACATTTATTGGTGGTCAAAGAAGAAACCTTTGTCTTCCTTCCACATGGCCCGGTGTGACTTGGAAGATATCGTTCTGTTGCCTTCTTGCCTGCATTGCCTCTTTGGAGACATCCAACTTCATTTATGGGGAATTTGTCTTATTTTTATCATTGCCTTTAAGGAGTTGCACTTATGTCCAGGACATAGGCAACGACTTTTTGTTTATCCTGCTTGTAAAACATTGTAATTGTTAAATTGGAGGACTTAAGCTTTTCAGTTCTTCTGGAAACTTCCCACCTGTGAGCTCATTGTGCAGGACCTCCCCGTTCTGTCCGTCTCCTGAGACTCCAAGTAGGTCACATTACACCACTTGAATGTATCACCGAGTTGTTTTCGCGTTGCTTTGTGTCTCTGTGCTAAATTCTAAATATATCTTCAACCCTGATTTTCATTTTTAAAATTCTCCTTCCAGCTGTGTCTAGTCTTCTATTTTATTTGCTGACACATAAATATCCATCATTATAATTTTATCTTTTTCTGTAATTAAATTTTTTCCTTTGTTCTTTTTGTTTCTTTTTCTCATTTACCTGCTCATTTTTTGTAGTCTCTTCTTCCCTACTCAATCTTTCAATTCTTTTTATTTATTTTTTAAAAAAACTTTTATTTTTTCTGGTACCAAGGATCAAATTCAGGACCTTGCACTTGCTAGGCAGGTACGGCACCACTGAGCTACATCCCCGGCCCTCGATTCTCTATTTTATGTCCTTAATATAATTGAGCATATTTGTTTTATATTATCTATCCACTCACTTTGCCTTCAAGTTTCTGTGGGACTCATTCTGGTGCTGGCTCTTTTTGCTTGCTCTGTCTCGATCAGCGTGGGTTTGAGTATTGGTCGGTAGAACTCTATGTGTGGGTTTGTGGGGGCAGTTTTTGTTTTGGGAGGTGATTGGGAGTATATTCTTCTAAGTCTTAACTTCACAGACACTATGCATTAGGATTATCTGTATGGAATCGTATTAAATACTTCACTTGGAGGTTTGTAGACCACAAAGATAATCTTAATTCAGGCTACAAACACGTGAGTTCTGGCTTGTAATTAAATCCCAGGGGAGGTGATTTTTTTTTTTTTTTTTTTTTTTTTTTTTGGTTGTAACTTTTTTTTTTTTTTTTTTTTTTTTTTTTTTGTACTGAGGATTGAACCCAGAGGTGCTGTGAACACTGAGCTCTATCCCCAGTCCTTTTTTTTTGCTGGGGGTGTGGTACTGGGGATCAAACTCAGGTCCTTGCACTTGCATCTCCAGTCCTTTTTATTTTTAAATTTTGAGATGGGCTTGCTGAGTTGTCTAGGTAAGACTTGAACTTGAGATCCTCCTGACTCAGCCTCCCTTAGTCTTCTTTTTTAAAAATTTCTTCACCCAGAGCCAAGGCAAATATGAACACGTTTTCTTACTGTGACCCTTTGAAAGGTGATTTTTTTTTTCCTGGTTTGCCTTTTCTGTGAAGATGCAACTCCAGGGCTCTTCCTTGCCATAGTTATAGACCTATGTCCTGATCTCTGTGTGGCTGTGAAAGCTGACATGCTAGGTGTAGATGCCAGCTCAGGGTTCTCTTACCTCTTACAATGCCTACTTTCATTTTGCTTTTGGTCTCTACGGACTGTCCTTATGTTTTTGTTTTTGTTTTTGGTACTGGGGATCAAACTCGGGTCCTTGCGCTTGCGAAGCAGATGAGGGAACCACTGAGCTAAATCCCTGGCCCTGTTTTCATTTTTTTGAGACAAGGTCTTGTTATGTAGTCCAGGCTGGCCTCAAACTTTCATCAATCCTCCTGCCTCCCAAGTGCTGGGATTACAAGCATGTGCCACCATGCCCAGAAGATGTTTGTTAATATGGAGGATTTTCATAATACCTTAACTACCATATTTTGTCCCAAACAACAACAACAACAAAAAAAAAAACATAGAGCTATCTCTACAACTTTACTAGAAATGTCCTTGGAAAGGTAGAGAGTCTATTCCTTATTTATCCTCATCCCTGGCTCTTAATAGTCCATATTAGGGACATTTCCTAAAAGCACAAATATACCTCCAAACCCTGATGGCCTGTATTTATTTAGTCAGCCTCAGCTGTACCTCTCTGTTGTCATCTTTTTTCTGCATAGATTGTATGACACAAGTTTTAGCTTTTGGTTGGGGCTTTTTTCCAGTTTCTCTGAGTTTTATTCCTGCTGTCTGAAGTTATGTGCTTAAGGGAGAAGAGGGGTTGAGAATCATCTCCATAACCATTCTCATATTTTCCATTCTTATCTTTGCCTTTTTAAATTTAACTCCGAGGCAAATCTGACTCATTCTGTGAACTCTAGATCCTTTCTGCCTAATTTCACAAGCTTTTTCGTTTCTTCTTCTTCTTCTTTTTTTTTTTTTTTTTGATAAATGAACAGCTTTATGTATAACAGGCAAAATCTAGAAACAGCTGAACTGTGCATCATCTGGTAAGTGGCCAAACAAACCAGTGCACAGCCTCCCCATAATGCAATCCTCCCCAGCAATAAAAGGAATGGCCCCTGATAGATGTAACAAGGATGAGTCTGGAAAACATGCTGAGAAAAAGAAACCAAACACACAGAGTGCTCATGCACTGTGTGATCATCTTTATAGGAAATTCTAGAAAAGGTAAACGCAATCCCTAGAAAAGCAGGTCAGTGGTTGTCTGAGACTGAAGGGACTGACCATCAAGGGAGATCAGGGAACTTTTTCAGGAAGAAAAAGAAATGTTTCACATCTGATTGTGGTGTTTGCAAAAGTGCATGCATTTGACAAAACTTAGGATGTGTATGTTTAAAGGGGGTGGATTCCATTGCATGTGAAGTACATCTCAATAAAGCTGACTTAAATAAAAGAAACACAGAAAAATATTTCCTACATTAGAAACCTTTCTATGACAGAAACCCAACTCAGTCTGGTCTTAAAGGAAATAAAAAAATTAAAAAGCACTGGCACATATAACCAGGGCAGTCCGGGGGTAGAGTTGGCTTCTGGCATGGCTGGATTCGGGAATTTACTGGGCAGCAAGGGGCAAGTCTGGACAGTGCACTCTATCCATCTTGGTTCTCCTTCCTCTTTGTTGGCTTCATCCTCAAATGGATAACAGATTGGCCATCAGCAGCTCCAGGCTTATATCCCGTGGATTTGGCAACTCCCACAGAAAGAGAAAGCTCTTTCCCACAGTTGTGGCAGAAGTCCCTGGGGGAGTTGCAGGAGCCTGTGTGCAGGCTGGGATCAGATGTCTACTTTTAAAGCCAGTGGGTGGAGTTGGCCCCGCCTGAACCCCAGAGATCCAGGGCAGGGGAAAGAGGTATCATCAGGAAAATGGGCTGTCACATTTCCCACCCCACACTTGGAAGAGCCAAGTCACCAGGGACGGATTGCACCTCACTCAAGCCCAAGGCTGCTTCTCTGTCATGTCACAGGCTCCGCTGTTAGTTATGAGAGTCATAACAAAGTGATCACTAACTGCTTCCCCATTGGTTGAGCCAAGGAAAAGCCCTTCCTGCCGGTGCTGGGTGTCCACCCCACAGCAGCTGGCAGGGGAGGGAGGCACTGTGCAGGAGTTACTGTGCCCAGGCCGGGCAGGAGCCTTGGAACTACCTGGTCTGGACTTACAGAAAAACTCTACCCCTTGGCCCCGGGCTTTGCAGCCTGGACCACTGGGAAATCCTGGCAAAGAGGCAAGGATTGCAGACTCTTCATTCCAGAACCACCATCACTACTGGAGTCGGCCAAATGGGAGGCCAGAGGAGACTGTCAGGAAAGGTCATCCTTACAGAACCAAGGGCAGAAGGCACCATCGCCACGTCGAGAACCAAACTTGACCTCCTGGGCAGTGTGTCAGTATTGCCATTCACTGAGTACCTTTCCAGGCCCAGCAGCAGCCTTCTGCGCAAATCACTCCTGGTTCCAAGTGCTGATGACACATCAGGCAGGCAGCGCCCCACGGCTCTCAGCGGGTGAATGCGGCTGGTGCATCTCCAGTACCACCTCTCCTTTTTCTTTTTTTTAATACAGCTGTTTCTCCTCTTCAGTGCATTTACTAACGCAGACTTTTCCCTGAAGGTCTCTGCCCGATATAGAGTTGCCCTCAACGAAAGCCACTACCACCAGCAGGCTTTCTGGAGCTCGTGTCACGTCATTCCCTCCCACACGCTGGTGCTGTTCCCTGGGTGAGTGTTTGGGGAGAGCTGGATCCCCCAGCCTAGACTCGTGTTGGATGCCCACACACTGAGGCACCTGCTGCTCTGCCCACGTGGGGATCATGCCTGCTACGCAGTGGGCATGTGCAGGACCTCTCGGCGGTCACTGTCCTGCTGCCACAAGGTGGGAAGGCTTCACTGTGACTCACCCGTTAGCTCTGTTGCCAGGGGCAGCAGTTCTGGGTATAGGTGATGTTCCTCCTAGCCACCCATCAGTGCTTGTTTCTCTAGACTTTTCATTATGACACACAGCTATCTCTATGTAAGAGAAACACAAAAAGATGTACAGTTTATGTTTTTAAATCCATGTGTTGCCGGGCATAGTGGCACACTCCTTAATTCCAACACACAGGAGGCCAAAGCAGGAGGATCACCACGAGTTCAGGACCAGCTTGGGCTACATAGTAAATTCAAGGCCGGCCTGAACTACATAGCAAGACCCTGTCTCAAAACAACAACAACAAAACCTCTGTGTTGAATGACAAATACCTTAATACTTGGCTGTAACAACTCAGCTGTGGGTACTATTCCTGTTTCTATGGTAATAGTTGCAAAGTTATCTTTTATTTATTGAGCAGTTGCTATGTGCTAGGCCTTACACTGGTAAATTGTTTAATTTTTACAACAGCCCTAGGTAGTGTATCATTATCCCCATTTCATAGATAAGGACATGAAATTCAGAGATGTGAAGTAACTTGCCTAAGGTCACATAGCTCAAATCTTTTAAACCTAGAGCCCAGGTGTGCGAACTTCTCTTCTGTCAGGACGCAAATGTTCTGATCTCTGATCCAGGACCATGCGCTCTCACAAGGCCAGAATTTGACTCCACATCATAAGGCAGCCATTGGAAAACTGTGCACATTTTGGAACCGAGCCACCTGCCATCACACGGAACTCGTGGGGGTTCTTTTGTAAGCCTTGCTTTTGGAACTAGCTTGTGAAACATAAGAAAATTGGTCTCTTATTGTAGACAAAGCTTGCTTTTTACTCTATGCTATGGTATGGATTGATGTGAAGTGAAATCCATTTTTAAAATACCTGCAACTAAGAAAACTGTGTTACACTTCCTTTGTGTGTTACAAACATTGCATTATCTTGAAAGTCCTGTTGCTGATTGCTTAGCACTGAAATTGGTTACATTGGTGAGGATCTTGTTTTGCTCCTCTGTGAACCTTTTTTTTTGGGGGGTGGATACCAGGGGTCGAACTCAGGACTCCGCTGTGAATCTTAAAGCTGCCCAATACTGTGCTGTGGGAGGCTCCCAACCCCCATTCCTCATCAAGGCAAACAGAGCCCAGGGCTGCCTCCCCAGTACATGGCAAGGGCCTCCCTGCTAAATGTAATTCATCCAGCAACACATATCAAGCAACACTATTAAAGTGCTTATGTTTTTCTTTCAGTTAGGGTTAAAGTTCCAAGCATCATCTTAGTTGGCTGCTTACGTTTAATTTAACTTTGCTGAAGTAAACAGTCATAATCAAAAATAGCAGCGTTGCCATAACAACCATGATCCAGATCACTTGCTTTTCCTCTCTGCTCACAAGGGGTCCTTACTGGGTAAGCCAGGATATGAAATAAATCCACTGAAACCTCCTGAGTGAAATGAAAGTGCAAAAACGGTCTGGGGAAAAACATTTTTAAATGATTGCTTTAAGTGTTTCAGAAAAGCTTCACATGACCCCAGGAGGAATTGGGTCTCTGGTTGCCTTGCCTGACAGCCTGCATCATCGTCTCCTCTTAGGGATTCAGGTACAGCGGTGCCCAAGAACTGTTCCCTAGCACACGGCAGGGTCAGAGAGTCATAGTTCTTACTCTAGCTCTGGCTATGAGGTTCTAGTCCATAAAGATGGATCCAGATAGCTCACCATGGTCTTTCAAGGCGTAAAAAGGTGAAATTCTGATCTTGTAGGGCTGTGCTGTAGCTCACTGGTAGTGTGTGCTTTGCATGTGCAAGGTCCTGGGTTCTATTCCTATCAACACACACACACACACACACACACACACACACACACATTCACAGAGTTTTAGAGGATGCTGTGGTACATGCTTAGAATCCCAATATTCTGGGAATCCAAGACAGGAAGATCACAAGACCAGCCTGGGCAACTTAGTGACTCAGTGAGATCTTGTCTCAAAATAAAAAGTTTTCAAATTCAGTCTCGAGCAAGGGGGAAAAAATCTGATCCTTTAACTTGGTTACTTCTTTGTGGCAAAAGACAAAACCAGCTTGATTGCTTTAAGTCAAGCTTCAGGGTAAGCCTGAAGAAAAGAAGTGTTAAGCTCTTTTATGACCAAAGACAACGGTTCCAAAACTTTTATTACCAGAATCATCTAGGGAGTTCCTCGGGTTCCCTGATCTTCTCATCATTGCCAACGTGTGAATTAAAGGGAAGCGAAGGTCCAACTGGGCCACACTCACCGAGAGGTCCGACTGGAGATTTTATTAGGAGTGGGAGTAGAGAGAGAGAGGGAAAGAGAGAGAGAGAGGAGGAAGAAAAAGAAGAAGAAAAAGAACCAAGAAAGGAAGGTCCTTTTGTTGGTTTTGGGCTGGACTATTGCTTATTCATGAGGAGCGAGCTACTTTTAACCCATCACGGGCCAGGTTGCCTTTTATGGGTTCAGTCCTGCAGAAACAGTTTAAATTTTTTTCTCATCATTGCCAACGTGTGAATTAAAGGGAAGCGAAGGTCCAACTGGGCCACACTCACCGAGAGGTCCGACTGGAGATTTTATTAGGAGTGGGAGTAGAGAGAGAGAGGGAAAGAGAGAGAGAGAGGAGGAAGAAAAAGAAGAAGAAAAAGAACCAAGAAAGGAAGGTCCTTTTGTTGGTTTTGGGCTGGACTATTGCTTATTCATGAGGAGCGAGCTACTTTTAACCCATCACGGGCCAGGTTGCCTTTTATGGGTTCAGTCCTGCAGAAACAGGTTTTAACTTTTCTGTCTCGCTGTGGCCTTGATGGGAGGGAAACTAAGGATAAGAGCATGAAGTCATTTTAAGAGCCAAGAAGCACCAGGAAAATGCAGCCTGTGATGGAGGCGTCACAAAATACTTTAACATGATCAATTCCCTAACAGTGAATCTATCATTTGTTCTAATTATGGCAAATAATAGTCATATGGCAATTATGTTAATTAAGAAAATTAATGAGCACAGATGATTTTGTGTATTTTCATTGCCATTCCCTTCACCCAGTGATTCTAGAGGCTTAGTCCTTGTCTTGATTGTCTTGATTGGAAGAGAAGACACAGTAAAGCCAGGTGTTTTCCCTGCCCTTGGATCTGGCTTGTTACCAAATTCTTCATTAAATAGAGTTGAAACACAGTATGATCACCTTGTGGTAGTGATAAGCTGACACCTGAGGGTTGTTTTGTTTGGGAAGATTTGCCATTAAAACAAAACAAACCTTGTGTCTTCTCATCTTCACATTCCTTTTATTCTTCCTTTAAAAGAGACTAATCTCATCGTGAGATTAGTCAAAGAAAATTCAGACAAAATTTTTTTCTTTTTAGTTCATTTTGTATGTCATTATAAAGAAGTGAGATAAAGTAAGATACCATGCTTGTCCCAGCACTTATGGGAGGCTGGGGCTGGAGGATCCCAAGTTCCAGCCCAGCCTTGGCAATTTAGCAAGTCAGTGGAACCCTGTCTGAAAAAAGAAAAGAGGGCTGGGGATGTAGCTATGCACACAGGCTGGAGCTCAGTCCCCACTCCTGGGGGGGAAAAAAGATAAAAAGAAAAAATCTGTAGAAAAATGGTAAAAAATATGAATACGCATTTCACAGAATAGGAAACCCAAAGGGCTGGAAAGTGTATGAAAAGCAGCTCCAGCACATTAGTCCTCAGGGAAATGCAAACTCAAATGAGGAGATACAATTTGTAATGTCTGATAATAACAGGGTTTGGCAAAGATGTGGAGAAACAGGAAAACTCAGACCGTGCTGGCGGGAGTGTAATTGCTACAACCCCTTTGGAGAGTAATTTGGCAGGATCTAGTAAAATTGAAAATGTATATTCCTTTCGACCCAGTAATTCCACTTCTGGTTGTATTTCCAGAGAAAGTCTTGCACATATGCACAAGAGGGATGTCTCAGGGTGCTCATTGAGGCTTTTTTTTTATAATAGTGGAAAATTAGATACAACCTACATATCTACCATCAAGAGAATGGATGGAAAATAAATGTCTACATTAGAATACTTTTAAGCAGCTCTATCTACAATGGCTTGAAATAAAAAAAATTATAATGTTAGATACAAAAATTTGTATGTTAAAAGCAGAATACTAACTTTATATATAGGAAGGAATTTTTTAAAAAGCAAGATGCAAAATTTTGTATATTGAAAGTTAAATTGCCTGGCCTCAATGTAGCTGCCTGCCATTAAGGGACGAAAATTTCTAATTTGAGAGCCCACTTTGAAACCAGGCCATCAAATCTAGATCATTTAGCCCAGGCGTAAGTAGGAGGGAATAGGAGATGGAGCACCATCATGGGTCTTATGGAGATGTTATGTCCAACCAAAAAGGTGTCCTTAGTGTAACAGATCTCCTGTCCCAGGGGGCCACATGAGAGGCACCCCACCAGATGGTTGGGGTCACAGCCCAGAGACCTTCAGGGCCCAAATAAAACAGTTCTCCAACCCATAAAAGTGAAGGGTTTACTGAGGCCACTGTCCCATTGATCACACTGGACCAGAGGAGCCATCAAGACAACTAGTGAGAGACAGTCATGAATCAGACACTGAACAGTCATAGGGAGAGTGAAACTCACCATCCTGGAGAAATGGAAAACTGGCACTCAGTAGTCTTTGGGTTAGGAAATTTTAGCTTTGAGAGAGACTGGAAACCAACAGCCATAGGGAGGGGATCCGCCTAGGGGAAAGAGTTAAAGGGGAGGGCCAGAGATTTAGCTCAGTGGTTCCACAGCCTGCCTTGCAAGCACAGGGTCCCAAGTTTAATCACCGGGTACCAAAAAAAAAGTTAAGGGGAGCCCTCAATATGTGTAAGTTTTCCCTGGTTGAGCTGCCACTGCCAACTGTGCTGTCCATTAAGAATGAGAAAGAAAAAAAGTAGCCTTTACCCTTGAAGACTGGAGTGGGCCATTGTCCCTCTTCAGCTACCTTTAGGCCCCAATGGAGAGTGACTCCAGCTAGGATCCATCCGCTGTAAATGGGAAGTAAGACTTTCTGCAAGCAGCTGGAAAGAACTCCTTAGCTTGTACCCTGACAGGCCACAGCAGGTGGGCATAGCTGCAAGGCCTTCTGGTCCCTAAAACTTTTTGTTCTGTCAGTGAAATCATCCGTGCCTTATTTACCCCACCTCAAAAACCTAATAGTTCACCCTATTTTCATTAACACTGGATGTTTTCTAAATACCTCTCTGGGTATTGTTCTTCAGGGGAAGTGCAGTGGAGAAGTAATAGGAAAGTGCATGAAACACCCAACCCAAGCACTTCTAAGGCTGAGTCAAGAGGGTTGCCTTGAGTTTGAGGACTGCCTGAACTACATAGTGAGACCCTGTCTAAAACAAAAAAGAAAGATGGGCCAGGGATTTAGCTCAGTTGTTCCACTGCCTGCCTCAAAAGCACAAGGTCCTGAGTTCACTCCCCAGTACCAAAAAAAATTTTTTAATTAAAAAAAAAAGAAGGAAAACCCTAATCCAATAGTAATTCTATGCAAGGTACAAGAAATTCATTTACGAGGAAGAGACACAAGGCTCTCCAGTTTTTAAAAAATTAAAACCAGAGAGTACAGATCTCACCTAGCACCTAAATATGATCCTGGTTAAATGGAAAAAGACCAAAGCTTTCCAATGTCTTACTCTTATCAGTGTCATTTTGCTAGATTCAGAGTCCAGAGAGATTGTGGTGGTAACCTCCAAATATGAAACAATTCCATACAAACCACAAAAGTCTAGACCCATTGTCTTACAAAGTCAAAGAATGAAATTGCAGATAAAATGAAGTTAGCAGAGTGTTTTTTGCGAGGCAGGAAGCAGAACCACTGAGCTAAATCCCCAGGCTAGAGTGTTTTTTGGAAAATAAGAAGAAGGAAAAAAGCTCCTGGTTCCAGAGGGGATTCTGAAAGTGGAATTTCCCAGCTACTTTCTTTGTTTTGGGCTTATAAAGATGAGCAGAGTGGGGAAAGAAGTCAGTTACTGAGCCAGCCAAGAATAAAGGGAATGAGTCCCAAGGAAACCAGTTATTTTGCATTTCTAATGTTTCTCAAGTCAAGCCAGAAGGTAGGGAGGAAACTTCAACTAAGAGGAAGGGTCCAGAATCCAGGCATGGTGGCGGAAGTCTGTAAGCACAGCCCTTGGAAGCTAAGGCAGGAGGATCCCTAAGAGTTCTAGGCCAGCCTGGACTGCACAGTGAGACCCTGTCTCAAAAAACCAAATAAATGAATGGGAGGGTCCTTATCTCTGTGTTCACTTTGGGGGAGGGAATACCTGGAACCAAACTCAGGGCTTCCCATTTGCTAGGTAAGCACCTTGCTGCTGAGCTACATTCCGGGTCCCTTACCTCTCCATTCTTCTTCCTGTGCGTGCCTTTACATTTTTAAGCTTAACTCGCTGCATGATTTAAAATAGCTCTTAATTTGGTAAGTGTGCTATTTTGCTGTTTTCTTTTATCCACATGATTGTGTCTTGGGCTTCCCTGACTGCCTGCCTACAAGGCTAACTAAACTGTCTGTTACACCCTATTACAAAATGATCACCATACGCAAAGCAGCGCTAGCTTGCTCATGATGCTTATGGAGATGTAAAAATGGGCTGGAAGGAACCAAATGAATATCTATGAAGAAGCTGTCAACTTTAGTTGAATGTAAAATAAAATTTGAAGCAAATGTGACAATTTTAATTGTTAACTCAGGTATGTTGCAGCACTATAACTTTTAGAAGTTTTTAATTTCTTAAGAAAAATATAAAATATGTCAAGGTAAAAGTAAAGTAAGTAACAAATAGGATTTGGACCTTATTAATCTGTCCTGGTGCCTGATTTGAGGGCTTTTACCGCTCATGTATACTTTTGTTTTTCTGCAGCATTCATTTTATTCCTCAGCAGTAGTCTCTTGGACCCTGTTCTCTGACTATTCCATATTTTTGTCATCAGGATGAAAGGTGACAGCATATGCCACTTCCCTCCGGGTGATTCATCCAGTTTTAACTCTCAGATGTAAACAAATAGTGACAGAGACTGTGGTTTCAAAGCACCTGGCCAAAACATCCTTTTGAAGTGTTAATTTGGATCAAATATCTTGATATTCATCCACCCTCTCTTTGTATATGGTTTTTGTCCTTTAAAGGAACGGTCACAATTCCTAAAATGTATAAATCATAGATGACAGTGTTGCTCTCAGGAAAAAGGGAGCTTAAGCTTATTCATTTTCCTTTGCTGATTAATTTGTTATTAATAAGGTAGACTGGCCGGTGCCTTCGAGCTCCAGTGCTGATGTTATTACATGGCAGGGGAAGAGGACAGATAAAGCCAGAAAGAGGAATCATGTGAGGGCCAGACAGGCAGAGTGAACAGTGGTTTCACTTAGGGACAGTGACCAGAAGGTCCTTGGACGGCAAGGAGGTAGAATAACTGCCAGTTGTGAAAAAAGGGGAAAGGCGAGGAAGACTGTGTTCCAATGTAGTGAACAGATCTCAGAAGGTTTAACAGAAAGTAACCCGTGGACACCATATATAGACAGTCATGATCCGGCTCATTTCTGGCATCCGTTTCTGCCCCGCAGGACATAGGCCGTGTGGTGGGAACGGTCCGCTGTCCACCGAACTGCATCTGTCCCTCTCCTCCAGCAGCACCGCATTGCTGTAACCTGTCTCGACGCAGTCACACATGTAAGGCGTAGTGTGACCTTTCTACGTGAGATGGGTGCTGTTAATGCCTGAGGCAGACATAAACCAGGACTGTCCCGATAGACCTCCTTGTCATCCTAGTGAGTACCGGGCAGTAGCACGCTTTTACAGTAAGGAATACCTGAAGCTGGATGCTTATCAGAAGTTGTCTACCTGGCTTCTTACCCTGGCCCACAAGCTCCCCAGAGCCTGTGCCAGCCTCTTAAGTCTTCTAAGAATTCTCTGTCCTGGTCAGACTGCCCACGTCAGGTTCCGGGATATTGTTATCTCTCGTACCTCTGCCCCTTCACCCTCTGAAAGCTCCCTTTCCTCTGTCTCCTCTGTCTGAAGATTACTCCTCAATCCACTCCAGCATCACCTGTTTATTCTGACTTAGTTCTTATGTCCTGGATGTTGGCCTGCTGTCACAGGGCCAAACCCTTACACTTTGGGCAGTAGATGTTCTGTGAGTATTGATTGAGTCTGAGTGGTGGAGACAACTGGACCACTTTAGAAAGCCAGCCTTTACTTCCTTGCAGGAAAGGTCTTCAGGGCAGCTGGCAGAGGAAGATGACACAGCACTGACCAACTGGGGGTACGTGTTTGTGTCTACCAGTGTAGAGCTGCATGTCTGATGGTTTGGGTGTGAATTGAGATTTAGTCCCCATTGTGAAGGATTAACTTTGAACTTCATCATACTATTATATCGTTTAGTGGTGGAGCCATTGGGAAATGATTAGGATTAGAGACAAGATCATCAGGGAGGAACTCCCCCTGCAGCTTTATAAGAACAGCGGAGACACACACAGGCACACACACACACACATATACTCCTTCTCCCTGTCTTTTGCTGGCTATGTCCTGTACCACCTCAGGATTCTGTCAGCAAGAAGGCCATCACCAGAGATGGGTCCTTGGGGCTCCAGAACTATGAACTAAGTCAGCCTCTTCATAATGTTACCCAGACTCAAGTATTTAGTACAGTAACCCAAAACAAGCTATTACAATACTACTGAAAATCTTCATCCTGGCTGCTTTAAGAATGTCACCTGATCTCCAGGTACTTCCACATGAGAAGCCTTCAGGAGGCATGACTGTGAAGCCAACGCCTTCTTAAGTCACAGGGATTAAGAATGTCTGGACCAGCCATTGTCTGATAGAAATATAATGTGAGCCACTTACATCATTTAAATTTGCTTTTAATTTCGTCTACTGTGAAAAACCTAAATATAATGTGATAAACATTTGTGTAGTCTCTGCCACGTTTATGGAATAACATTACCAAATACTATTAGACTCCGCCATTTGTACTTCGCTGGTTTTACTTCTTTTCACATACCCCTATGTGATGACTGCTATTTTGAGTTTTATCATTACTTTAACTTTTTAATATAAGGGGACTATTGTTAAACAGTGTATAATTCAATTTTGCGTACTCTTGAACTCAACTTTACTTTTATTGGCAAAACCCCACCCATCATCAAATGCTCAAATGTGTAAAAGTATGAACCTTTCATCTGAGAAGAGAGCCTGTCTATTCCCTATTCCTCCCTTTTGAAATGGGAATATCTACACTGGGTCTTATTGAAAGTATTTAACTTTTCTTTTAATTTATGCAGGGGCTCACAGCTAAGAGTTTGCCTGCAGTCTGAAAGGAGACTTTTGACTTGGACTGTTTAGCAGTGCTGGAACTGTTAAGACTTTAGTGGCTCTTACAGATGTGCTAAATACATTTTTTATAAAGAGATGGACATGTGAGCCAAGCATGGTGCCCATGCCTGTAATCCCAGCCCTCAGATGGCTGAGGCAAGAGGACTGCTACAACTCTGAGGCCAGCCTAGGCTACATAGTACTTTAATCAGCAAACCCCCACCCATCAAAGGTTCAAATGTGTAAAAGTACAAATCTTTCCCTTGGGAAGAGTGCCTCATGGTTATAGGCATGCACGATACAAGTGTTGTGAGGTCAGGAAGACTTTCAAGGGAAAGCCTAAGAAGTCAGGCAGTGTTCTCTGAAAATGATAGTGTGTGCAATGTGAGAGTTAAGCTGAAGGTACAGAGGAGACCCCTGGAAATTAGAGATACCAGGAACATGGACCATCTGCCAAGGAAAAGTCCTGCACAGTGAGCGGAGCCTAGCCAAGTGAGAAGTCATGTGAGCTGTAACTAGCAAGGCCATCAGGTGAGATTGCCCAAGGCCTTTGCAATTTACATCTTGCCACAACCTCCCCCAGGTGCTGGTCATGCAGCTGCAGGATTTTATTAATTCAAGATCAGCCTGAACTGTATAGCTAGACTCTGTCTCTAAACAAATAATGAGATGGACATGGTCCTTTGGAGGACTGGGGGTAGAATGTTACAATTTTTAAATGAAATTTTCTGCCAAGTCCCTGTGTTTGGAGGCAGGGCCCAGTTGGAATGAATGGCTCACTGTGGCACGATGTGAGAGGCTCTATTCTTGCTCTTGGTTCCTCCCTTTGCACCATGCTGTTTGTCTTGGAGCCAACTGAACCCTCTGAAACCATGAGCCGGAATAAATCTCTCCTTTAAACTGTGAGTGTTGGGCACTTTGTCCCCCTCAGGAAAAAGTGACTATGATAGGAACTGATTATACGGACAGGTGAAGAAGTCATGTTGCATGCAGAGGAGTCACAAGTGCAGAGATTCTGAAGAAGAGCTTGCTTGATGCATTTAAGGGCCCGAAAATAAGCCCGATTTCCCAAGGCATCGATGTAGGTGGAGGTGTGAGTGCCGGTCAGACTTTCACATGGCCTTGGAAGGCTGGACTGGAAGCAACACTGAATCTTGTTCTTCCTCTGATTCTTTGGCTTCTCCTTTCTTGCCCTGAGTATAGAGCAGGCTGGCCAGAGTAAGAAAACAAACAAAAGAGTATGAAGGAGAAGAAAGGTCTGCAGCAGGAAGATGCCGCAGAGTAGGGCCCTGATCCATAGATCAGAGTCCCCACAGTCCTTAAGATGGTGGTGTCAACCCTGGAAGCAGCCTGTCCGGGGCGGGGCAAAGCCTCTGAGGTCTTATTGCAAAGATACGTTCTGCGTCCAAAGTATGCCCTCGTGCTCTGTGCCCCTTGTGGTTCTCACACCTGTGACTTTCTTTTACAGACCCAAGGGGCCTCCAGCAGATAAATCAAGGCATCTGGGCCTGGGAGCTCAGGCATTAGCCATGCAGTGCCCTGAATGGGGGCCAGTTCCTCCCGTGCAGTGAGGAAGCCTTATGAACCGTCTCTTCCTTCTTTCTATGCACTGATCTCCCTAATGAGCCACTGCTAGTAGAGGTTTAGACAAGAAAAGTCATTGTGGGCAGCTATTGATGTAGATGCACAAAGGAAGCAGAATTCTGAATACCAAGTCGAGTTAACAGAAACTTGTTAACGTTGAAGGCTAAAATGTTTCACAACAAGACGGTCCTGCTGTCCACTTATCAGAGGCAGAAGTGGCCGTGGATACTTCTCTGAAAGGAGCCCCCACTGGACATCTCAGTTTCCCAAGGCTGCTGGCATCTCTTCATACCGTGCAGCCCTTCATCTGCCGTGCTCCGTGTCCACTGATTGTCTTGCTTTACTGAATTCCAATTAGCAGCCAGAGCTCCTGAAGATATGTTTTTGTTTTTATGAGAATCTCAAACATCAATATGTGTTCTCCCTTCTCTTCCTTTCCCTTCTTCTTCACCCATTTCTCTCTCCCTCCTTCCCTTTCTTCCTTCCTTCATTCCTTAAGAGAACATTTAGCAAATGGATGCTCGGGTCATTACATGACCTCGAAACATAGACTGCAAAAGCATTATTCTATTAAACTCTGCCCTCCTCCACTTCTTGTACATTCCTGCAGAAATCCTTTTCATGAAGGAAAGCATATTGAAATAAAGAGGGAAGCTCAGCCAAATTTAGGTAATGCCAGAATCCTTGGGAATGGGGCCTTTGCTGAGGAGGGAAAAAGCCGTCTCAAGGTACGAGAAGAGGAAAACACACAACATGAATGGTACCAGCAAGAAAGGTACCAGGAAGGGCAGTAGTAGCAGAGGGCCTTGAGAAGGATATTACAGTGCCCTGGCATTCAGCATTCACGTCTGCTCCTTCCAAAATCCATCCTTTGAGCCTGTGTTCTCTTCAGGCAGGATTGGGGCGGAGGGGCATTATTGGCATGTGGGAGAGGACAATTCTCTGCTCTGTGGAATCGCCCCATGTGCTCTGGGATCTTTGTATCTGTGACCTACTCACTGTATGCAGGTAGTGCTTTGTAATCACTGACAACGTCCCCAGACTCTCTCTAGTGTGGACATTACCGTCCCCGGTCAAGAGCCCTACAGATCTGGGTATGTCAGAAGAATAAGGCAGGGTTTGAGCACAGCTGCCTGGCTGCACCACAGAGTTCTGGAAGACCCTCTGCTCTCCCCGTGTGTGGGCACATCAGGAAAGATAATTAGCCTCACCTGCTGGTGACCCTGAGCAGGCCACAATAGAGAAGGCTTTGCAGTTGTAATAAACCACATTTTAAAAGAAATGAAAGCCTGAAATGGGCTGGAGACAGCGTTCAAAAGAACTGACACATTAAATGACTCAGCCATATTTCATTGTTCTTGTGAGAGAAGAAGGGTTATTTCTCTGAAGATGAATTGCAGTCTCCTTTACATTTGCATGAAAAATAGAGAAGACAAAAAAAAAAATGAAAGGAGATGGCTACTTTTTAGGCTGTTTTGTAGACACTAGGTTTCAGAAATTAAAATTAAGCTAAGCCTGAAAATGATACTCAGACATGAATTTAGTTTTTTGTTTGTTTGTTTGTTTTTGTTTTTGGTACTGGGGATTGAACTCAGGTCCTTGTGCTTGTAAGGCAGGCCACCGAACCTCTGAGCTAAATCCCCGGCCCCAGACATGAATTTAAAATCCTGAACATCAAAGTGTGTGGACCAGTTGCTTGCTTACAAAGATGTGTCTTGCTCCCCGGAGTCCTGCTCCCTGGAATGCTATTTAGGAATTCTCCACCTTCCCAGTGTGACTGCCGAGGATCTTCTTGCTCTCTCCTTTCCACTGACAGAAATCAGTCCCACCTTCCTTCCTGCCTTTCCGTCCCGGGACCACATCATCTTTGGGGAAGGAGGTGGCAAGAAACACCTCATGCAGCACTGTGGGTCCACAACCCTCTCCCGTGTGTCTCCTTTTCTTTGATAGCAATACCGTTTGTTAAGCCAAGCACAGTTCGCCAAGCCCAGGGCTGTGGCTTTTGTTGCATTGATTGTTTTAATTTTAAAGTAAGCTACCAAAGAAAATTTAGCAATCTTCTGTCCCGAGTTTTGTTTAAAAATTTTAAAACAATTTCAAGCTCAGAAAATGTGCAAGAACTGTGTAAATAGCTTTAATGAATTATTTGAGTGTAAATTGCCAACCTGATGCCCTTCACCCCTCTTACATAACAAAATTAAACCATCATTCCTACCATCTGTTCCACAGACCTCATTCACAATGCTCCGAATGTTCTAATAATGGGCTTTCATAAAAGGACCCAGTTCAAAACCAGCTGTTGCATTTAGTGCTTGTGTTTCTTCTCAGTCTCCTGCAGTGTAGAAGTTACTCAGTCTTGCCATGATTTTCAGGAAATCGGCACTTCTGCAAAATACAAGCTGAGAAATCCTTTTCCACTGTTTCCCTATGAAAGGACCAGAAAGAGGCCAGCATCTGCCTCCCTTCCTTTCCCCCCACTCTGTAGGCTTCACTGGTCCAGCCATGGGGTTGCTGGGAGAAACTGAGGCAGGAGAACTGGGCAGAAGCTCTGGGCCTAGCAGAATCAAGGGAAGTGCTTTAGCTTTCCTCCCCTTCCTTCTTTCCTCTCTCCCCCGCCCCCCATATGCGTGAGAAGGACGTAGTTTTAGGCATCTGGATACTACTCTAGTGGGAAAACTATCCCTACCATTAAACTCTGTAAGAATATGGTCTTCGCTGTTGGTCACAGCAGCCTGTCCAGCCTCTCCAAGAGTTCTCATTCTCCTTCTGTCTCCAGGATGACTCTCACCTGCTAAAGGCATGGCTGGCAGGTAGACCAGGAGAACTGGAACCAACCACGGAGTAGTTTATTTTCTGTTTCTTTTTGCAACTTGACCTTTGTTCATTAAATGTACTGTTTCTATGTTCTCTGATCATTGGACTACTTGTCTTTATATTACCATAGAAACTCTGAAAGAAAGATCACCTTGTAAAGTCTTTGCTTTAAAGATAAGAAAGCTAGACCAGGCATGGTAGCACACTCCTGTAGTCCCAGAGGCAGGAGGATCACCACTGAGGTCAAGGCCAGCCTGAACTACATAGCAAGACTGTTTTAAAAAACAAACAAAAGGGCCAGGGATTTAGCTCAGTGGTGCCGCCACCTGCCTTGCAAGTGCAAAGTCCTGAGTTTGAGCCCCAGTACCAAAAAAAAAAAAGTACAGAATTTCAGTAAAACGAGTAGCTATATGAGGAATTCTACAAGTTAAATACTTTGAATTATTTTTGCAAAGTCATTGAACACATTTTTAGGGAAGAAAGGCTTGTGTTTCAAAAGACTTGAAAGATCACTATATTAAGAATAAGAGCCAGGTGTCGTGGTGTACGCCTGTAATCCCAGCACTTGGGAAGCTGAGACAGGAGGATCACTGTGAGTTTGAGACCAGCCTGGGCTACATAGTGAGTTCCAGGTCAGTCTCAACTACATAGTGAGACCCTGTTT